CAGCGGACATTGCCATAGTCCAGGGGTGAGGTGAGAAGGGTCTGGACCAGGGTGGGTGCAGGGTCAGAGGAGAGAAGGAGATGTGTTCTAGAGATGCTGCAGAGGTGAAGTCACAGGCCTAGGCAGCAGCTCGGGTATGGAGGAGGGGAATGCAGTGGGAGGGAGGCGACATTGTATGTTCGAGAAGGACTCGGGGAGGAAGATGAAGAAGACGAGAGTGAGGAGAATGAAGGTAAGAAGACGAGGTGAGCAACCATGGCGTAGGCTGGGGGTGCTCTTGGTCGATACCCCGTGTGACCCTTGGGGCCACGCAGTAGAGCAAGTTGCCCACACCAGCTCTTATGCTAAATCCTGAGTCTACAGACAGCCAAGACACCACTTCTTTTGTTTACAACTGAGGGAGGGCAAGACCTAATTTTCCCATCGAGTTACATTATGCCTTAAGCTGTCAGCTAAGTGTTCTTAAAGCGTCTGGGTTAGGAGTGCCCTTCTGGTGCATGTGCTCATGCGATTTACCCAGCTTTAAACTGGGCAAGAAAAAGAAAAACCACTGGACTTCAATAGAGGGAGAGACTGGGAGAGAGCTAGGAGGTGGGGGTGGAGCCTCAGTCTACCTGCCTTCTCATCCACCAGCTGATGAGATTACAGAAGTTGCCTGTCTTGGCCACACTAGTCCGAGGTTGGTCACTCTCCAGTTCTTGGGTGCCCCCCAATGTTGGTCCCTGCTCTCAATCTCAGCTTTCCTGATGCTGCTCTTGTGCTGAACTTCAGCAGCCCCAAGCTGGGGTTGTGGGCCCCCAGTTCTGGGTCTCTAGGGCAGAAGTCCATGCTCATCAAATCCTTCTTGGCTCTTTGCCCTGAATGAACGGAATGATTAAAAGTCTCATAGGAAGGGAGGGAGATCTTGTTTCCATCATCCCTTTGCTGAGTTCCTTCCTGCCCATTTAGTGCAGGGGCATGGGATCCATGGCAGTGTTCTGCCAGAGAGTGAGTTCATGTGTGTATGTGTGTGTGTGTCTGTCTGTCCTTGACTCATTATCACCCTGAGGTAAGACAGTAACTCATAAAAGATAAGGGGTGAAAAGGAAAGAGCACAGACATTGATTGTATATGTAAGCGATGGTGATTAGACCTGTGTGGCCCCTGTGTGGCATGTGGAACAAGTGCCCCCTTCAGCAACTCCATGTCTGCCCATCTTCCCAGTATTTACTAGGTCTTAGGTGCCAAGGAATGATGGAAAACCAGCAAGGTGAGCTTTGGGGGGGGGAGGTGCTACCAGAAAGGCCAGCTCTCTGAAGCCATGGTGGTCATGCGCTCTGATGAGATAGTTAAGAAAACAAGGCAATGTGCTTTGAGACGAATTCTCTCTCACACAGGCTCCAGGGACGCTGCTGAAACATGTCAGGAGGAAACAGGAAGAGAGAAGCTGCCCACATGGTAAGCCCAGAGGACTTCCGAAGGCCAGCTGGCTGAAACATTGGACAACAAATTGAAGTATTTCTTGGGAACTGGAATCAGAGATCACCACTCCCTAAGCAGTATGCTAGGGTGAGGCAGTTTTCATTTGTGACTATGAGAGTGGAGATTGCTTGGTAGCCCTTCCCTGCCAAAGGTGGTACATCTGTCTCTGATTCACTCCTCTTCCCTTCAAGAGGAAAAGGGCAGGAGGAGGAAGAGATGGTGGAAGGAACTGAAAATTCAGAAGCCACAGAACTGATTCATGCCACGTCAGATTTCCCACTTGTGTTTTACTTTTGGTTTCCTGTTCATAAATGCCATTTAGCTGAAGTACCAAGTGAGTGACTTCACTGAGGCTAGGCTGAGAAGGGAAAAGGTGAGGATCCAAGTGTGTGGGGGACATAAGAACCAGGAAAGTGATGAGTTATTTTAAAGAATGTCATCACTCTGCTCCACCTTAAATGTGGCCTTCAGGACAAGGGAGAAAATTGGGTGTTTTGTTGTTTTTTAAGCTCAGCAATTTGGATAGAGCTGGTGAAACCTTGCATGGACCATCACCTGGTGGCTTTAACAGATTCAGAACTCCACATCAGCTGCTCCCAGACCCCCTAATACAAGCCATACTGTTCTCATGGGACCCATGTCCCATGGACACTGCTCAGTGTGTCAAGGATTTCTTAAGAGGTCTGTTTCACAGTGCCTGGTATATAGTAACTGCTTTGTAAATGCTTGTTGATTTATTGATTAATAAGTCATAATCACAATAGCTGCCATGATCAGGGTGCTTATGAAATGAGAAATGACAGCTCTGATCGATGATGATGCCCACCAGCACATTGCAACAGAAATATAAATGAGTATCTCCTAGCAAGAGCAAGTCTAACAAGTATGGATAAGAGGATCTATCCTGCAATGACCTGCACTGAGGATGGGATATTTGTATTTCTGCCAGTTAAGTTATTTACTCTTTAAGGAAAGGCTAATCTCTCCCTAGAAGGGACAGTGAAGCAGATGGAGAAACTCTAGGTTTCTTTCCACCCTCTAGGTTATAAGGTAAAGATAAATGTTTCTTTAAAAACACACCCATAGAGAAGAGTTTTAATGCGAAATCAAAACAAAAAGTCTCTTAAGAGGCAGAGGAGAATCCTGAAGTGAGTGAGTGGATGAAGAATGTACACCAAGAAAAAAGGAAAACCAAAGGCTACTGAACAATTAGAGCTCAGTATGCTGTCCCTTTCCAGCTTGGCAGCCAGTCTGTTACTGGCTTAAGTCTGCTTTGTTTGGAGTTCTAAGAGAAACCATTGTTCTGACCTAGAGTTCTAAGACAATCGCTGTTGCTAATTGTGAATGCGACAAGCTGTAGTACGCTGGAGAGATGAGGACAGCAGACTGCTTTATAATTATAGCACAAATGTAGTTGATCTGATTATAGACACAAGGTGAGAATTTGGTGAGTTCATAGCTCTAATAGACTGTCAACTACAATCTTCAGAGTGACATAGGACTGGGAAAACCGGAGGAAGCAGATATAATTAGATCAGAGAAAATGGGCCAAGGCATGGCTTAATTCCCAAGGTTGAAAGCATAGCTAATCGATCTTGGTTACCAAAAAACTCTAAAGATGCCAGTTGTTTACAAAATAGTAAACCAGTATGAATGTGACAAAAAGCTCAACAAAATCAGGTCCAGGATACCTTCCCAGGTGTGGATCACTGAGCCAAAGGAAAAAGGCAGCCTTGGATCGATCACACTCAGGAGGAGAAACCTACCAGCATCTCAATGCCTCTTGATGTAATCAGGGAACAAGGGACAAAAGACGCAAACCTTTCAACGGGTGAACTTGCCACTTGTAAATGAAGGAGTAACAGGCATCTCTTGGATGGATACAGGACGGGTGTGTGTATGACAAAAAGGAATGTTAGTTTTGAGGTGTGGGAAAAAAATGGATTCCTTTTTGCTACATACACACCACTCCTTTGTCTATCCAAAAGATGACTTTTCTATACTAAAGAGTCAGCTTTGGGAAACTGAGATAGGGCCAGGGATAGAGAGCTGGGGACTTTATCCTTGACTAAGTCACTCGTAGTTGATGTAGGAGATCTAAAATCCAGGTACCATCAGGAATAAAAGAATTAAGATATTTTAACTGTGGACAAGCTGGCCATTAATTTGTTCATTTCACTTACAGAGGAAGTTGATGGCCACGTAACTAGTATCAGTAAATAAGCAAGTACAAGAGGTTGCTTTGTTTTCAAGGACTGAAGCAAGGTGACAATTTTGAGAAAGAACTAAAAAGAAACCTTGTTATTCAGAAAATACCAGAGAAACTTAGTATTCTCTGAAGGACATTCACACGTGAGGTATCTCTGTTGAAGAGAAAATTTTATGACGTGTACCAAAAGCCTAACATATCCAGCACTTTGCACAGTGCCCGGCACATGGGGGGCTTAGCTTAATAGATGCTTGGTGACTTGACCCGGCTTGTAACCAGCAATCACTCGATATGATGTAAGGAGCCACTACATTGAATCAGAAACCCAGGACTATTGAAACTTTGCATGATCCAGGGTCAGCAAAGAGAATCAATTAAAAAGATGGTGCTTTGAGAAAGCTTCAAATTGTGCCTAGAACTGAGGAGGGACAGCCAGAGAACGAGGTCGTCATTGGGTGTCCAAATACAGACAGCTCCCCCCGACCTCCTCAGTCAGAGGGGAAGAGCAGGGAACAAGGATTAGCCCCATTTTGGCCCAACAGCCCGATTGTAGTAAGGGAACAGTTCCCCAGCCTCATTCTTCATTCCCATAAAGCCCCACACAAATGGAACCTCCAATAGGGAAGCTTCCTCTGATCTCCCAGATCAGCAAGGCCCTTTGTCCTGGAATTGCACCGGAGCCCTTCACCTTCTCTCAGCAAGGTTCAGTAGAGGAGACCATCTAGTGTTGTTTCTAGAAATTCAGAGGAACATACACACACACACACACACACACACACACACACACACACACACACACAGACTTATAGAAAGATACAAGCCAAGACAAAAACACACCCATTGGACTGGGATTCACTCAATCCACCAATTCAGTTCCCACAATGTTGGGCAGACTCCATGGTCCTGAGCACTGGAGACAGAGAGGATCTCAAAACTTCTTTGCCGTCCTAAGGGCCTTGGGAGAGGGAGAGCTCCCATCCTGGGTGCTTCCCATGGGCCAGACACCCCCAACAAGGTATGCTGTAGAGGGCCTAATTGTTCAGGTATGGCTTGAGCACAACAGTCTCTGGTCCCCTCCTTTCCTGGGTGATCCAGGGTGAGTGCTCTCTGAGGACAGAGACCCTAAACTTTTCGGTTCCTCAGCCTCTCACTGCAAAGTTTTGCCCTTATTAAATGCTGGTTGCATTCAATCGAATTGACTTCCTATTAGACCAAGATCCTTGAAGGCAAGCAATGGAGTTCTGTTTCCCCTAGCTCCTAGCCTTGCATTCTGCACACAGCAGGCATTTAATACATGCTGGGTGACTTGGATTGAATTCCCCTACTAAACTTTGCACATTAGTAGAGAGATTTTTAATTCCAGAAGTTGTCCACACTGATAAAATCACAGGCTCAGAATGAAAGGAAAAAAACAAACAAAGACCTAAATTCTCAGGTATATGTTAAGTAGTGAATGGCTGTGGTGACCCACTGTGGGAGCTTCCTCACACTGGTGGCTTGGGCTGATGCTGCTGCCAGCTTCGAGGTCACCCCAACTGGCTCTCCTGGTATGGAGAATCCATGGAAAATGCCTCCAGTGGGGATTCGAAGTCCACTGATGATGGGACTGAGGCCTCAGTGGACACTCTCTTTCTGCTGCAGACACAGGGCAACCAAGCAATCATAGCCACAGGTGCCTTCATACAGGCCAGTAACAGGGGCCTGGACAACTGCACCCAATCTGCTAGACCGCCAGCTCCCAGACACCTTCCTGTCCATACTCCTGGGAGGCATGGTGGACCTCAGCCTGGGGTTCTGATTAGAGGCAGGATGAGCAGGAGTGCAATCCCAACCTGGGAAGCTTAAGCAGACATCAGGAGGCTGAGAGCCTGGTCCATGGACGTGGGTGTCTGTATAGCCTCGCTCTCCCCAGTGAAGACTGAAGCTTCTGAAGAGTTGGAGCCCAGTAACCTTGAGTCCTCATTTTACTGAGGCCCAGAGAGACTAGTTGACACCAAAATCACACAGTGAGTCTAGTCTAGAAATCACAGATTCTGAAAGGCAGTGGGGGCTTAGAATCTGTCTCACTCCTTCATTTTAAAGATGGGGAAACTGAGGACCAGAGATATTAAGGACCTTCCCTAAGGGTAGTTCACAATCCAGTCTACAATCACACACCTGAGGCAGGCCAGGTCCTGAGAAATGACCAGACTGGCCTTTACATTTTAGAGGAGAAAACAGATGAATGTTTGAGAATTCGACAGTCTGCTAAGAAGATGGGGGAAGGGGGAGGCTTCTTCAACATCACTCAGCTGTCCTTGTGCCTGTCCAATCCCAGACTCTCAATGTGGGCAGGATTGGGGATTGGAGCCCCTCAATTTAAGGTCCTTCTCTCCACTAGTCAGGGTCCCTGTGAATGACGGGCCATTTCTGTAGTTCTGAATGTCAGCGGCCCTGCCTCTGTTCCCCTCTCATTCCCCTCCCTCATCCTCTGGCCCCATCTGTGTCTCTGCCTCTGCAGGTTTTCCTGTGCTTCTCTTTGTGGAAACGGCACTTTTTCTCTGTGCTGGTTTCTGTCCTACTCTGCCAGTATTTGCGTGTGACTGTGAGTGCGTCTGTGAATTTCTGTCGGGATGCATGTGGCCATTTCTTGTGGCTCCTGACTTGCGGATGTCCCTGTCTGTTGGGTGCCTGTCCCCGGCAGGGCCCCCCCTCCTGCTGGCTCCCATCACCACTCCTCCACCCCCAAGTCCCAGAGTCTGCTGGTCCCGGGCTCTGAGAAGTCGGTGCAGAAGATGCTGGGGGTTGGGCCGGAGCAGTCCAGAGCTGGGCTTCCGGTCAGAGCCTCCAGCCAATCGGCGGCCTCCAGGGGACGCCCCGGGCCTGGCGATGGCGAGCTAGCCGGGGACGGAGGCCAGGAGGAGAAGACGGAGGACAGGCCCTCGGAGCCCGGCGGCGGGGATGGAGACAGGAGGTCGAAGGAGCCCGGGAAATCCAGAGGGGGTGGAGGCAGAGCTTCTGAGAGGAGTAGAGGGGAAGGAGAGAAGGAAGGGGCTGTCAGACGTCTTTGCCCCTCCCTGGTCCCTTGGGCGTCCCGTGACCTCACTCCTTGCCCCCTCCCAGAGCCTTCGAGCTCCTTTCCCTTGGGTGCCACAGGAGGTGCCTCTGCGCCAGAGCCCCACGAGCCTCCCTTGACCCTCACCCACCTCCAATACCGTCGTCCCGGATCCAGGACTCACCTGCCAGCGGCTCCAGAGGCTCGTCCAGAATGTCCTGGATCGAGTGATGCGGGTTGAGCTGGGCGGGGGAAGGTGAGGGAGGCGGTAAGCGACCCCTGCCTCTGGACTTGAACCTCCCCCTCCCCTTCTCCCCGATGTTCTTTCCCGAACCCCCAACCCTTCCTTCCCCATTCCCTCCCAGCCCCGCATCTCCTCCCTTCCCCCACCTGAGCCCTGCGGATGGCCTCCTGAAGCTCCTCTTCCAAGGACAGGCCTCTCGGCGGGGCGGGAGGAGCAGGCGGGGCCTCGGGGGCAGTGGGGCGGGGCCAGGGCTGAGGGGATGGGCACAGAGCTCAGCCCCACCTCATTGCAGGCACTCCTGGTCCCGTCCCTTTCCTCTAGGCCCTCCCTTCACCCGCCCCTGCCACGGTTTTTCCTTTCTCCCGCTCCTGCCTCTCTCCGAACTCTCCCTCCCCTAGCCCCGCCCCTAGTCGTGGTCCCTCCCATCTCCCTTCTTCTGGTTCCTCCCCTTTCGACGCCCTTTTTGTAGCCCCACCCCCGCCCGCCTGGGGCTCCTCACTTAGCCTCTTCGTTTCCCCCCCTTTCCTGTCCCCCTCCCCCTTCCCAGGACTCACGGACTTTCCAGCTGTTCTAGAAGGGGCCTGGGGCTCGGTGCGAGGTCGCGGACGGGACCTGGGCTTCGAACTAGAGCTTGGGCTGGCACGGGAGCGAACCCCGGGGCTCCGCACTGGCCGCTGCAGCGGGGGCTGCCTGTCCCGGGCCCCGGCCCCCCGCAGCCGCTCCAGTAGGGCCGGTTTGGGCCCGGACACTGGGAGGCCCCGCAGGCGGAGCTGTTGGCGTAGTTCCGAAACCTGTGGGCAGGCGGGCGCATCGACTCAGAGGCTGGGGATTGGGCGGTTGGAAGGAAGGACGCCTGAATCCCCGAGGGAACCGGGGAGCCCGGCACCTCGAGGAGAAGGCTGGACGAAAGGATTTCCAAGTCCCCGAGGGGGCTGGGCTGGGACGGGGGAGCTTAGGACCTGGAGGGGAAGACTCGAGGAAGGGACCCCGGGGCCCCCATGGAGAGGGGTTCTGAAAGGAACATCTGGGACTCAAAATGGGACGAGAGCTCCTGGATCTTCGAGGAGAAAGAACTGTGAGAGGAGACACCTGCTCTACCAGGGGCCTCAGTCTGGGGTGTCATGAAAGGGGGTCTTCTATTTCCTTACAACTCACCGTCAGCTCCTCCAATCGGAGGGTCTGAAGCTCTAACTTGGGCTTAGAGGCCACTAGTCGGGGGACCTCCGGGGGTGCGGGGCTGTCCTGGAGTCCCGGTCTCGACCCCCAAGTCCTGCAATGCATAATGGAAGATTCCTGAATCGAACTCTGGGAGGGAAGGATTGATCCCCTTGGGAGCTGAGACTCCCAGTTAACTTAAGAGAGAGTGCCTAGAGCCCCTTAGGGTTCTGGATTGGGTGAGGTGCTTCTGAGGCCGTCTGGGTGCAGAGAGCGCTGTCACTCTAGGAGCTAGGGCCAGGGGCCCAAGGCAAGGTTGTCTCGCAGGGTCCCGGGACTGCTGGGCGGAACCTCACCTAGGCAAGGACAGGTCCTGCTTGTGCCCTGACAGCTGCCCATCCTCCCTGGGGGGGCTTCCGTGGGCTGGCGCCGCTGCCCCTGGCCCTGGCCCTCCGCGGTGCTCTGGGGGCACATACGCGTGGTACTTGAGTGGTTTCAATCTGGATCTGGGCTCCCTCTGGTGACCGTCTCCTTTGGCCTGTCAAAGGATTTCCAGTTCGGGTTAGGCGCCCCTCCCCCAGCCGGAACTACACTTCCCATGAAGCCTCTAGCCAAAGCCCTGCCTAAAAAAAAAAAATCTCCCGAATCGGCTCTGCGGCATCCTAGGAGTTGTAGTCCAGAAAGCATTCCTTGGCCGGCAGGGAGCCGCAGACCACATACACACTGACCCAGGCGCCCCAAAGGAACCGGAGCGCCAAGGCTTGGGGCGAGAATTCCGAGAGGACTGCCCAGCCCCATCTGCCGGAGAGATTCGAACAAAATGACTTCTCAGTCCCCGGCTCACCTTCTTCAATGACACCCCAGAAAAGGGGAGGGTTGCTGGATTGGGTTTGGGGACTGCAGAGTCACAGGACAAGGGAGAGGAATTGGTGACGGAGACTTGGTCGGGGGCTGAGGCCGAGATCCAGGGATCCACTGTAGGGACAAAGGATTAGACTGAGAAGGGATGAAGGAAGGGATGAAGTAGCCCTCATCCCCTCTCATCTTGCCTACGGAAACAGGCGCCTCCCTGCCACAAACTTCTCCTGTGCCCAGTCTAACTTTTTACAGTTACCCAGTGGGTATTCCTAAAGCATTGCTCTGACCCTGTTCCTGCCCTGCTCTCTATGACCTTTGGGATCAAAGACGAATCTCCTCTTTGGTATTTAAAGTCCTTCGCAGTGTTCCAGGCTTCCTTCACATTACTGCTTCTCCCCCATGCTCTCTAATTTCCAGCTAAATTAACCCCCTTTGTTTTGATCTGAATCCCCAGTGATACAGAAACCTGCTTAGCCTACAATTGGAAGTAAACGTTTGGACTGGATTGGAAGACACCGTGGTGAGGCAGAGACTAAGAAGAGGCACATCCGGGTACTGGGGGGGGGGCAAATTTGGAGCTCTCTGAGTGGGAAAGGGATATGGGGAAGAAGCTACCTGAATCCCTAGGTGGAAAAGACCGGGTGAAAGAAGGCTGTGTTCCCCAGGGGGCAGGAGCTGGAGGCAGGCGCTGGGGTCCCCTGGATCCATTAGTGGGGAGAAGGGCGGAGTGACTAGAGGTCTGGGTCCCAGTCGAGATCTGGTCAGGCTTCTGCCCACTCTCACGCTGGTCCTGGGATCTCCGGTGGATTCGGAGCTGGAGGACTGAGGGAAAGCCGAGAGCCGGGTCACGGTGACCAGGCCCCGCCCCCTCCCCACGCCCAAGTCCCCCGCCCCGCTTCTGTGCGCCCGAAGGTCAGCTGGGAACCCAGCCTGGGCTGAATGGGGGAGGGGGAAGTCCTGTTATCACAGCGGCCACTGGAGAGCCTAGGACACTGGGCCCTTGCACTCTTGACCTCCTGGCACCTGTATTCCCCTCCTCACACACTCCCTCCCTTCCCCATCCCTTGCACACTGGTCTCCTTGCACACTCACTCCCCCGCCCTTGCTCTCAGCATGTGCATAGCACTTCTTTCCTGCACATCGACCCTTCTCCCTTCCTCAATCCCCTTGCACACTCAGGCCGTGCACCGATCTCCCCGTGCAACCCCATTTCTGCACAAGCGGCCCTCCCGGCTAGATTCCCTCACCGGAGCGGAACTTGGAGCGGATGAGCTGGGAACACTGGGCCGAGGCAACGAGGGTCATGGCCAGGAAGGGGGCGGAGAGGAGCTGGTCTGAAAGGCGGGGAGTGGGGGCCTCCCGGAGCGAGCAGAGGGTCCGATTAGATGGCCAGGGCAGAAAGGCATTATTCACGTGGAGGGGTAAGGAACTTTTGTTTGTCCCCCTGGGGTCCAGGACATCTAGGTCCCCGAGGGAAATAGAGTTTTGGGGGGAAGGAGCAGGTCCCTGAGGGAAAGAGTTTTGGGGGGAAGGAGCAGCAGAAAATTGGAGAACTGGGAGCTGGGAACGCCTAGCTTGTTGATAAGGAGGGAGCAGAGGAGAATGGATAGAAGTTAGGGATCACCATGCCCAGGTCCTTGAAGGGATGGCGTAGCTGAGGGCTCTGATGCCAGGCTCGGGGGTGGGGACTGTGGGTCTGAACTCCTAGGTCCCTGAGGGCACAGGGACGGGGACAGGGGTGTTAGGGGCTGGGGAAAAAATAGGACGCCTTCTCCCTTGAGGAAGGTTGGGGGGGCATCTCACCAGGTGGAATCAGGGTCGCAGGAGTGCAATGTATCTAGCCGGGTGCAACCGCCAGGCTTGAGAACTCAGGCCCCGCCCTCTCAGGCCAGACCTGCCTGTACTCCGCCCTTTCGCAACCGCCCGGGGTCCTCCAGAAGAGATTTAGTAGTCACTGGCTTATAGGGTCCTCTGCAGGATTGGAGGGTCAGGGTGGGGACAATAGGGGATGGGGTAGGGGTGGGGAGGGAGGTGGTGGAGGATGGAAGCCCCGGACGCCTGGGTCCCGAGACTCCCTTACTCCGTGCTCTGACCCTGGTGCCGGGGGGAAGGGGGAAGGCATCGGGGTGGCATAGGAGGGGGAGGGAAGAGGGCCGGGGCCGCCAGGGATGGACAGTCGCAGGTGCGGGGGCGCGGCCCCCAGCGGGAACCACCTGTTGCTAGCTTTTTCCCTGACGCTGCGCTGGGTGTCAGGTTCGGGGGAGAAAAGAGTTCAAGCTGGGGCTTGGGATGCCTGGATCCCCTAGGGACTGGGGCTGAGAAAGTGGATTCGGGTTCCTGAGGGTGGGGGAATGGCCAAAGGGACCCCTGTTGTGCCTCAGTAGTTAGCGGGGCAAACGCCCGGATTCCTGAGACGGTGGCCCTAGGAGAGGGTAGTCTCCGAATTGGCGACGCTTGAGGGTTCCCCGAAGGGGCAGAGCGGGACCCTTGGGCCCCAAAGGGGGTGAGGCTGGGGAGACCCTGGGGTACCCGAGTGGCGTTGGGGGGTGTTGATTCCTTGGGTCTCCAAGGGCGCGAGGCCTGGGGAAGGGATTCAAGAATCTCCAAGGCGTGGGGAGGGAACTGCTGAGCCCAAGGATGAGAGTTGGGGTGGGGGGGATGGAAAAGCAGACACTGGAGAGGGAATCTCTGAAGCGGCTGGGCTTGAAGAAAGGCTCCAGATTCGGGGGGGGGGGGGGATTGGAGACGGGAATCCTTGGAGCTCCGAGGGGGCCAAACTGCTAGAGACCCTGAGGGACCTGTGGGGTTGGGGATCCCATGGGTCTCGAAGGAAGCGGCGCGTGGGGAGGGGACTTTTGCCTGGTCGAGGCTTTAAGGACTCCTGGATCCCGGGGAGATGAGGTTGGGGAGGGGACGCCTGGGAGTCCGAAAGCCTGACATCCCTCGGGACACGTTCCCCACGAGGACACGCTTGGGGTCCAAGCCCCGAATTTCTTTATTTCTCTGGAAAAAAAAAATCACGGCACCCCAGGGAACGCCTGAGAACTTCAACTCCCGGCAGGCCCGGGAACGCCCCCGCGTGTTCTTCCCAGGCTTAGGACCTGGGACTAAGGAGGATGGGGGGAGGAGGGGCTGAGTGGAAGGAACTATAATTCCCGGCAAGCCCCGAGCGCAGACACCCGATCACGGCGACGAGGCCACGGGGAGCGCGTGGCGCTGATTGGCCGGCAGCTCTTTCTGCTCCAGGTCCCAGAGCAGGCGGCGGAGCCTGCGCAGTTCGGCGTGCAAGGAATCATCCGTAATAGGCCCCGAAAGGCGCAGGCGCGAACCACCCAGCGGCAGGATCAGGGGCGGGTGCGAGGAAAAGCTCTCGAAGATGTCGCCTGGCGGGATGGTGAGGGACAGTCAGAACGGAGCCAAGATCTCTGAAGGAATTGGGGTGGGGGTAGGGGTGCTTTGAAACGCCTTGGTTACTGGAGTGGGCGCTCTTCTTTCAACTACCCCCCCCCACGCCCTACCGCTCTACACCGGCCAAGAGAACTACAATCCCCAGGAGCCCCTGCGGCCGTGTCCTTTTCGGGCTTCCCCCACCGGCGCGAGGCATGGCGGGATTTGTAGTAATTTTGTACCCGGACACTCCCAATTCCCACCATATGGGTCTGGTTAATGGAAGACCCTGGCGTCTGTGGAGCTAGGGGAAAGAGCCCCTGGCTCCGCTGCGGTGGGGCATCAGAGGAGCACAGTTCTACAGCTGGAAGGAACGTCAGGGGTCCTCCAGCTCAGCTCGCTCATCTTACAGATGGGAAAACTGAGGCCCAGGGAGGGCGGGGCTGGTGGAGGGAGCTCCTCACCCGTGTCCATAGCTTCCAGCTCCGCCGGTGGTGGCTCCCAGGCTGGGGGAGGACCTCGGCCAGGGCCCAGCTGGTAATGGCTGAGCACGTGGTGAAGCTGGGCGGGGCTCAAGGTGGGGTGCTCTGCCCGAAGACTGCTCCAGGAGGCCTAAGAGAGGAGGGGCGTAGAAGTGAGGTGGGGGAAATCGATGTTAAAGGTCAGAGGTTTTTGGAGACAGTGGTGAACGGGATGCCAACACGTGATGGTGTCTAAGAACGTGGAAGCCCTTCAGAGAACCCCGGAGTTCTACCTGGCCAGTGTCCAGGTGATAGGCATGGGATCCCAGAGCTAGCTGGAAGGGAGCTCAGAAGTCATCTAGTTTAGCCCCCTTAATTTGACCGAAGAAGAAACAGGCCCATAGAGGTGAAAGTGAAGTGACTTAATCCAAACCCTAGGTACTAGGTGTGGGTTGGTATCTGAACTCCCATGTTTCCAAGTTAAATTGGAGAATGCAGCTTGAACAGTGCTGACCACAGATCACATGTCTCCATCTACTCAACCCTGAGATGTGCTGGGGGAGCTTCCATCCCATTAAGACAGTGGCACCCAACTGGGGTCTTGCCAGCATGGGCATCTCCACATCTGTCCAGCCACCTCAGGCTTTCCCCCTACCCTGTGCTCCAGGAACAGTAAGTCAATAGTCCTGGTGCTTCTGAGAAGGCTGTGACCATCTCCTGCCTCCAAGACTCCATCAGAATCTCTGGGATTCTAAGTTAGGACAACCTAGAACAAAACTTGCTCTCCACTTCAGCCCCACCTCTCTGACTCTGCCTTCCCTTTCCATCATGCCCAGTGGATTTGCCCTGGCCATTCTTCCTGCCTAGAATATGCAAGTCTTCACATCTCAGCTCAAGGGCTACCATCTACATGAAGCCTTTCCTGGTCCCCTCAGTCATGGGGACCACTCATATATCCTGTATTTAATCTGTGAATGTGTTGTTTATCCCATGGAACAGGGGTGGGGAACTTGTGGTCTCAAGGCCACATGTTCTGTGAAGTTTGGATTTGGTCAAAGGGCCGAACTTAAGGGCTTAGAGGACCCTCGTGTGATCTCAAGGCCACAGGTTTTCCACCCCAGCCGTAGAATGTAAGCTTCCTGGGGGTGAAGAACTGCTTCATTTTTCTTAGTGTCTTTATTAGTGTCTGGTGCTTACCAGATGCTTGCTTAATAATGCTTGTTGGTGAACACTACATTGTCCCTCACATCCTCCGCCTGCCTGTCACCTGCCTGCCTGTCTGTCCCTGTGAGGGGCTGGCGATTCATCACCTTGAGCAGGGAAGTCCTTGGCACACACAGCAGATTGACAGCCATGGAAAGCTTTCGGAAGAACTCGGTTGCAATGTCCCCCAGCCCTGCACCCTGAAGCCAGTCCAAAACAAGGTCCAGGTTGGTCCGAATCTGCACTGCCCGAGACCACTGGTAGAAGGGACGGCCCTGACCTGGAGAAGTGGGTAAAGGAGACAAGAGCCAGTGATCCTCAGAGAGGGGTGGCCATCCACCCCTGAGATTCCTCGGATTTGGCCTCCCAGCTTCCCCCACCCATGCTCACCCCTCTCCATCAAGGAGTTGAGCAAGGATGCGTTGGAGAAGAAAAACAGGTAGCCGAAGGTCTGGGACACCAGGTCTGGGTGAAGCTCACACTGTCGGGTCAGTTCCAAGGCCGTCTGGAACACCTCCAGGGTGGGCCTCAACCCCGGGGGCATGGCAGCCAGCTCTGCCCCAGGACCTGGAAGCTCTGCCCCGGCGGTGAAAGGGTTGCTGTCCAAAAGCGCGGGCAGCGTGGAGTACAGCGTCTGAACACAAGGGGGCAGAGGAAGATGGTAAAAAGCTAGACGGCCAACTCCCAGCAGCCCCCAAAGGCTCTCAAGTACTAGGGAGAGGAAGGAAGCTGCCCTGGCCCCCATGGACCTGGGTGAGATAAGAGGTCAAAGGACCACAGCACAGCCTTAACCGGGGGGAAACTGAGGCTCAGAGAGGGACAGAGCCACGCTACCTGGAATTCCTCCAAAGGGGAAAGAGGCAATTGAGGGGAAGAGGGGGTGAGGAAGCTAGTTTGAGTCAGGCCAGCTAGGGAAACAGGCCCACAGAGGAAATGGGATGGCCACCTCATCTGGAACAGGAAGCTGATTCAGAGTTGGAATGGCCATCCCAGCTGGGGAAGGAGCCAGAAATCATCCATTCCAAGTACCCAGGGGGAAGGTGAGGCCTAAGGAGGAGCCGTGCCTGACCCCTGGGCCCAAAGCACCCCAACCAGGGTTCACCGGCCCCCACTTCTGCTGGCGACAGGAAAGGAGGTCAACGTCTACTGAGGGAGGTCAGGGCAGAGCGGCAGCAAGTGAAGTCCAGGGAGAAGCAGGCAGTGACGGCAAAGCTAGGGCCATGCAGTCACAGGACGGGAGGCGCTGGAGGGCCAGCCTCCAGTGACATGGACAGGATGGGCCAAAAAAACGGGGAGGGGGGTGAGACCCACTCGGTCCCAGGACCCTCAAAGGAACAGGATGTGAGGGCAGAGCAGCAAGAAGGTGGGGAAGGGCTGGGGGTGCCGGTGAAGCCTTAAGGAGGTCCCAGGGCAGGGCTGGGGGCTATGAAGCCATCGGGTAGGAAGTGAGGTCCCAGAGCAGGGAGGGAGGTCAGCATCCACGGTGGCAAATGAAGTCCGAGTAAATGAGGGCAGGGCTCCAGAGCCTGAAGCTGGGAAGAGGTCAGTCACAGGGCAGAAAGGGAGAGCTGGACCCACCTTGGTGAGGTAGTAGACTGACTGTTGGAAGGTGCACATGATGACCTCATCGAGCACTGCCATGGCCTCATCACACAGCTCGAGGTCACTGCAGAGCTGGGGGTCTGAGGACAGGCCTGGAGTAGAAAAGGAAGAGCTGGGGACAAACGGTGGCTAGGGACCCCACCAGCCCCCACTGCTGGTGTGAGGGCTGTGGCAAAGGAGGAGGGCAAATGATGTTAACCCCGAAATGTAGGTGATGTGGGCCTGCTGATTGTGGAGGTCCCTGTAGGGGTAGCCATGGGCAAGAAGCGCCTGTCCCTGAGAGGTGGAAGACAAAGACATGGGCTAGCTCACATCTAGGGACAAGGGATCCTAGGCCCTACGCTGTAGGGCACCCTGGCCAGCCAGATGCCTGGGTCCCTCTAACCTTCCCTATAGGCACCCTAATCTCTAAGATGTAGGAGATCCTGGCTGGCTGGACACCTGGGTTCCATTTGGGAGAGCCATAGGGCAGGAGAAAGCTGTCCCTGAGAGGTTTGGGATGGCCAGTAGCTGGATGCCTGTACCCCTGCAGGGCCAAGACTCCCAGTCTCATCTCACCCTCCTGGTCGGCCTCTTTTTCCATGTCCAGCACCTTCTCCTGCACATAGCTGAGCAGCTCAGTGGTGTTTGCCATCCATGACATCAAAGGCCGCAGCTCAGCAGCTACAGCCTCGATGCTCAGTGGTGCCTCTAGGGTCCCCTCTGGCTGGCTGTGGGGAAACAACCCAGGCAGCCCTGGGGTGAACTGAAATAAACCCCCACAGGCTGGATCCCACCCCTAGGGGTCCCCCAACCCTGATTCACACCAACCCCAATGAGGTCTTACTTCTCTGGCTGTCGGTCTCCAATTTCCTTGATCTTCTCCTGGGAGGAGCAAAAAGGCAGAGCAAAAAGTGGTCAAGTTAGGGCAGCAAGAGGTTTGGGGTCCAAGTGATTCAGAATAGGGGTGGTGGATGAAGTGAGGTTTGCTTTTATGTGAACAAAGAGAAGGGCATCAGGAAACAAGGGAGCATGCACCATGCCTTTGAATTCTGGTCTCACCCACACCCTACTGTACCCCTCATCTGCCCTCAATGGGGAGTCCCCATCCGTGTCTCACTTTTCTTCTCTGTAAAGTAAGTGGTGATATGATAATAGGTGGCCTCTAAGGGCCTTTTTGGTTCTGA